AGAGAAGGGTTACTAGAATGGTGCATGGGATGGAGGGGTTGTCATTTGAGAAGAGGCTGAAATCTCTTATTGTTTTCTCTTGAAAAAAGAGTTGGGGGGGATCTGATTGAGGTGTTTAAGATTGTAAAGGGAATTGATAGTGTTGATATATTATCTTTTTTCATATTTAACAGTGAGAATAGTAGGACTAGGGGATGCAAATATACATTTTGGCAAGGTAGGAGTCATCTTCAGCTAAGACAGTTTCATTTTTCTAACAGGGTGGTTGGGCTTTGGAATGGATTATCTTCGTATGTTGTAGAGGCAGTAAATTTAACTGAGTTTAAAAAAAAAAGCTTGATAAGTATATGAATAATAAGGACTGGCTTTAAGATTTTTATTATTATTATTTTAATTTAGTTTAAAGGATGGAACAACCTAGATGGACCAATATGTCCCATGTTGTCCCAAAACATTGTTATGTTAACATTAGTTAAACTTTGACTAACAATTGAATTAAAGTATAGTAGGATATTCTGTTTAAAGGAAGGTATAGATACAATTTCATTAACCAATTCACACTAGTATGAAACTGTTTATGTGGAAGATTTTTTGCGCATTAATATGTGGTAAAAAGTGTATTACAATTTCTGTTTGTACTAAGACAAGTTGGAATAGGATTTTGATTGCAGAAGTATAATAGGGAAAGGAAAATATTACAACCGGAAAACGAAACAAAAAAAACTGCATGTATAATGATTAGTATCATTTTATTTTACTCCTGTTCAGGCAAAGTTGGAAATTGATAAAGATGGGAATGGTGCTGAAGTACATGCATTTGCCTATGACCTGTTAAGAGGAAAACATTTTGGAAGATTTGTTCAAGATTTACTGTGGTAAGTAAAATTTATGAAAAACAAAATGGAGATATTCTTTATTGTAGTTGAATTAAAAGGTTGATTACCATATTAAATAGCATACATGTGCACTTGCAGAAAACCACAGTAATAAATTATGAGCTGTACAAAGTTGTGGCAATAAAATAGTGTACTTTATACAAACTTCAATTAAATAAATATGTTTACGTACAACAGACTGTTATCAAGCCATAACAACATTATATAATTTGGTTTAGTAGTTGTATTTTAGCAGAATCATAGTTAGTATATTCAGGATTAAGCTCTCCATCAATTTTGTTGCAAGAGCTAACGTTTTGGTTAACAAAGCAGCTAATTAATGTGTATTTACTTTTTTTTTTTGGAAGGGGGATTGTTATAAATGTAACTATTGATTATAAAGCTTAAGAAAAATGAGGTGAAGAAATTTAAAGTTAATTGTCAATTCTCAAAAATTTAAGCTTTGTATTTGTTTTGTTTAATTCCAGAGTCTAACTTCTAATTAATGGTCAATGGTTTAGTAGAAAGGAAAACACTTTTTTGATTTTTTGTGATGCCTTAAAGAAATAATATGGCTCTATTTTCTCCCTTTGAAGTAATTGATTCAATAAAATAAATACTAGCTGTGACCCACAAAACACTTTCTGTAGTTTTCATGCCATTTGCTTGAATTTTCCTCATTCTGTCATTTTCACGCATGCCATTTAAGCTATGCTTTCTTGCAGATATCGTGTTAGATTGATAAATTCTGGTCTGTTTGAAAAAATTTTACAGAAAATTTTTGCAGAAACATCTGAATGTGGTTTTGAATGAACTGTGCATGCATGTTTTAGACCTAAATAAGTTGAGTAAGCCCATAGAAATTGTATTTAGTGTAATGTTTATTTTTTTAGAAAATTACACGAGGATTAAGTGTTGTTTGTGTGAAATACTTTGCAAATAAAAAACTAAAGTTGAAATCAAATTCAGTCATCATATAATGACAGCAACATTGTGTAATCATGTAACAAAATCATTGTATTGAAAAGTCTGATTAAGCAAAAGACAGGAAAGGTGATTCTGAATTGAAAAGCCAATATGCAATCTGGACTCCTTGGACAAAGGCCTTTTTAATGAAATGAGATTTGAAGTGTTTGATTGAGAAATTTGTGAGAAGTTCCAGACAGACAAATGCAAGTGTATTATTTATATAGATTCCCTCCAATCCAAATTTATATCAAGATAAAACTTAACAATGTAAACAAAAAATTTTGTCTATGGCATTGTGTGATTTTTATCTTTTTATTTCAGAGCTTGATCTTAGACATACGTACCTTTGTAATCCTACCTACTACTGTACCAAGTGATGGCTACCATCAAGTAGATGAATGCTTCCACAACAACAGAAAATAGATATAGATTGTAATATTGTAGATTATCCATTCATAGTCTTGGTTTCATTACTTAAACATTTGTTTTTCATGCTACAGGGAAAGGCATTATGGAGGTGTTGCTCCTGGATTTAAGGTAGTCCATAAAAACAGCATAACTATGGACAATAGACTACAAAACTTGTGTTTAGTTCCTAAAAGTTGTCGACTTCCACTGCCACTAGAGACTCAGAGAAAACATCGAGAACAGTCACTTTACTGGGCAGCCATTCAACAACTTCCTCCTGATCATATGGTTGATGAAGTAAGACTCTTGGTTAAAAAGAAGCACATTAAAAATTAATTTCTGTTTAATCAATTCAAAAATACAATAACAGCAACTTTTAAAATAGACAAGCTCTGATTTTAATGACTATATCAAACTATGAATCTTTAAATGCACATAGCATTTAGTATACGCTCTGCAAACAATTTAGATAATATACTACAAAGAATTTCTGAAGTCTTCATTAAAAAAAAAAACTCCATAAGAATTTGTTAAAGATTTATTGACATATCAAAAAAATATCAAACAAACAAAAGAATACAAATCTTAAAGATGAAAACAGCTATAACTTTATCACCACTACAATTCCTTATGTCAAACACATCAGCAAAAACCTAATTGGATGATGGAAATGACCTAGGAAGAAACACAACGTTGACATTAATAACATAATCATACAAAAGCCAAGTCTTAAAATCTTGAACCTTATTACTAACAACTACCTCAATGGAAATAAAAACAACAGAGTCATCTACAGAATCAAATGCAGTTCATGTAAACACTTTTATGCTGGAGAAACCAGAAGAGAAATGAACCTCAGAATTACGGACCCTCGTATGTTTTGAATATCTCAAAGAAACAAAACATGTTATCACTGAAAATAATATGAAAATAATTCACAAAGAGAATCAGACACCAACAGAATAAATAGAGCTGAAGCATTACTGATAAAATTATAATGCTAAATAAATATCCACAAATTCCCTTTATCTATATTAATATTTTATTCACCTCGTTTTACTAAAAAAATTGAAATAAAAGCTAATTTAATGCCTCCTACATAAACAAGTTCTCACCACTACAAGTCTGTAATGTTTTCTGGAATGTTCTCTTTTTGAATGTAACTCTTACCTGATGATGACCTGATACTTTGAGTTGAAATGCTGTAATCGTTAAAATCAGAACTTATCTACTGTAAAAGTTGATGTTGTTGTATTTTCAAATTAATTATTCAGTTCAGTAGGTTCCTCACTGAAGATAAATTTGTTTATTTTACCTTATAATTGAGAAAATACTTATTGACAATTGTTTTTGATAACTGAAAATAATGATATTAAATGCTGCATTTTCAACAGATGTATGCCATTTTTACTTAGAGATTATTAGTTCTTAATATAGTTTTATACCTTGCAAGTAAAGCATCATTGTTCCCTGATCTTCTAGTAAAAAAATATGAGTACACAACTGTTTTTGTTCTAATTTTTTTAAGAATGAAGACAGTAAACAGTTGAATGAGTGTAGAATAGTATTTATCAGGAAACTTTTTATAGTTTGTATATATATTAAGTAAATATATGGGTGTGTAAGGCTGAGGATTCTTCTACGGTAGGTGTCTGTGATTTGGTGATAAGTTCAAAAATATACAAACAGCACTCACTCCACTCATTTTCAAAATAAAATATATATATATTTGGAACTAGTTAAATGTATGTACAACAAATTCTTTACACTATAGAGATCATAGGCATATCATAAACACCGTATATAGTTCTCTTCTTCTTCTTGTCAAAAGTTCACTTAGGCCTATTCAATTGTTTTAGAATTTCAGTTGATAAGCTGAACTACTTTTCTCTATTACTGTTGCCGAACTATCTGAGTATAGTTCACTTTATTGTTGAGTTACCACAGTTGTGTCCTATACTTCTAAAAATTGTCTGCTGCTTTTTTCTCTCTTTGTATTTCTTGAGAATTGTTTGTCTATTTGTCCACTGAGGACAGTTCAATTACTTTAGAACTCTCTTTGATGAAATAAACTATTCTTCTTATCTCTTTCAACACTGTAAGTATCACTCTAATATGTCAAACATTAGGCCTTCCACTCCTACGATGATTAACTTTACGTTTAACTTTTCTTTGGCCGAAGTCCTTTTCATAACTTTACTTTACTTCACGTATGCTCTGTCTTTGTCTGTCTGTTTACTTTTCCCGCTTATCTCACATTATTTATATGTTTATTATCCGATTGTCTGCCCACCATATCCCTGAGATCAATAAACCCCATGCGACATTCTATAATCTAAACATCAATGAGTTATAAACACAACGCACGACTCTTACCAATTTCTTTCAACTCTCTTGTTTTGAACAAAACCAAACAATCATAAAATATTCACTCACAAAATAAATTTATCAACAATACCTACACCAAACAGCTCCCTACACCATGACAATCATGTTTCACATTTTACTGTGGTTCAGAATTTTGTTACATGTTACCATTTCTTAATACCAGAACTTACTTGTGCTTTATTTATTCATGATTATTAATTTTTTTTTTTTAGCATTTTAATGACCAAAGCTTGAGTAGAAGATATTATAACGCCAATGGTGAACTTGTATATGAAGAAGGTAAGTGGCAATTGTCTGAATTGCTTATTAAGAACACCTCACTAAGATTCTAGTAGGAGAGTGCAAAGTAAAAGTAGGCATAGTAGTAAAGGCTCCAAAATTCAGCTCTCAAATATATATTATCTTTCGAAATGCAACTTATACGAGTTAGCTTTGTGAAAATATCTTTAAAATCCTGCAGAGAATTGCACTGACATTACATTACCTAAATCCTTGCATGTAAAAACTTTCTGAGCTGATTAACTGATTCATGTGTTTAAACCCTAGCTTGATCATAGATGAGATAGTTTTCAAAACTATCAGATTTTATAAAATGGCAACAAAAAATATGAGTTGACTATAAGTTGGTTTTTAAACCCTCTTTACAATCAGATTTTATAAAATGGCAACAAAAAATATGAGTTGACTTTAAGTTGGTTTTTAAACCCTCTTTACAATTGAAATCTTTTTTGCACAACAAGGATTATTTCCCAAAATCCTATTGTTCTTGGCTTGTATATTTATACATATGTGGAGATTGTAAAGCCTCATATATTGGCAAAACAAAATGCCATCTTCAAGTACCAGCTTTGGGACCCCAGTATGCCAACACAGTAAAAATATGAGACACAAGATCCATCAACCTAATGTCATCATTTAACTACTCTTAAATATGACATTGAAATTTCAAGAAAAGAATCATTGGTCAATTCAAAGAATGCCCCTCTACATTTAACAATTTGATCCTTCGTTCAATAAAACCTTTTCTAATTTGTGTATAATTTTTATACTTATTTTTTTTTGTTTTATATAATCCGAGTTTGTAAACATTCCTGTTTCATTTAGGTATATGATGGTGGAATCTGTGCTGTTCCAAAACATGTTTTTGTTATTACTATCATCCTTTCATTTTTGATTATGTTACTGTTTTGAATGCAAGTTATGAGAGAATGTAATAGAATGTAAAACTACAGTATCTTTAACTGTTCCATAATATTTAAGGTTTTATAACTTTTTTAAAATTTCATTTCGAAAAATTCATTAAGAAAGTAGATTGAAATTTTAATTTTTTTGTGTTGTGAAAACATGATGTAATGAGGAAAAGACTATAATCCACATTAATACAGTATGATAACTAATGAAATTATTATATTTATGTGTAAGAATTAATGAACTTGTGTCTTTATTTTCATCTTTCACCTGCTCAGCTGTGAAATAGATTACAGACGGAAATTCTAAACTTTATTCAGATGTGAACTAGTTATTAATGTGTCAGGCTGTAGATTAAAGGATCTAGGCTGAAGATGTGGCATCACTGAACATGTTCTGCGCTCTTGGATGTAGGTGCATTATAAAAGTGACAGTCAATCCCATTATTAAGTTGAAAAAGCCCTAGTGATGGCTAATTCTTCTGATTGACAAGCTTCCTTCCCTATAGTCATTAGCTCAAAATTAGAGATGGTTATGCCTAAAACCTAGGAGTCTCTCGTCTGGTTATTTGACTCCTGTACATGTGGTGCTGTTGAGGTTAGCAACTTTACTTGATTTTTTAAACTAAAGTGCTAAGTGTTTAGATAAGCAGTTGACTTACATGCATTCATATAAATTTTCAGTAAAAGCTATTGTGCTTCACATTGTGTTTAATATTTTAAGAAAAGTATGATCTCTAAGATAAAAACATTACAATTAGGGTTTCTGATTTCTCGTTTTAACCAATCAAACACCCTTGATAAATAAAAAAAGAAAAAAAATCAGTATTTGTTCAATAGACATTGGAAATGGTTACTTAATTTACATTAACTTCATCCTTTCCCCCAGTGAAGTTGGTTATTTTATTAGTGAGGCAATGACCTTCCTCCGAGACTTGTGTCTAGCATGGATTCACCTCAACTACTGAGGGGGTATCAAAGGTTAAACTATCATGGAGGTAATTCTTATACATTTAGTAAATCTTGCTCAATCCAGAGCTCTTCAAACCAGCTGGTTAGTCAGAACAGTATTTATGTAAGCCATATAATACAACAACAATTAAAAATGTAATCATTGTTTGCCAACTTGTGAAAGGCATACACATGGCAACAATTATTGTATCAAAAGGCTTATATAAACAGTGTTAGACCACTGTTGTGTTTGTTGTATCCCAGCTGACCTGAAGAGCTCTGGATTGAGTGAAATGCATCATCAGCAATGGATATGACAAACATAATATGGTTGGAATACTATTTTAGAACACTATTGTGTTTGTTGTATCCCAGCTGACCCGAAGAGCTCTGGATTGAGTGAAATGCATCATCAGCAATGGATATGACAAACATAATATAGTTGGAATACTATTATCATACACTCTTCTAATTCTTTAAAATCCCTAAGGGAGTAGATTAAGAATGTAATGTTTAAAAATTAAATAGGCCTAATATTGTTGACTTATGACAAGTATAATTGTAACCATTCTTTGTCTGATTACCAGTAATAGAAGATAATTTGGCTCAGAGTCTTGACAGACAAGATCTTGTTTTTTTTACATTCTTTGAATTGCCTAAGTTGTTGATGGTAGGAACAATCTAATACTCTTGCTGCTGTACAAAGGTGTTCAGCAGTAAAATTGTTTTTTCTTTTCACCTAAGAACTTTTTGTTTAAAGTACGCAAGAGCTTAATCCTAGGGATATGAAAATAGTTTAATTGTTCAAAAAAGGTGATGTTAAGAAATGTTGAACTAATTGTAATCTGAAGAAGATTTCAAATTTATGTTTTTGGGATTTTTGGGAAAGTGATTATATTGAAATGGGATCTAAAACTGGACATGACACAATATATTAAGTGTTTAATGAAGTTATAGTTTAAAATATCCAACTTTTAAGTAACAATGAACTTTCTCTGTCCGTGGTAATTTATATTTTTTCATAATTCAGACCCATCTTGGACCATTTATTGTTCCTTTAGCATTTCTGCTTTATTAGATTACATTTTATGTAACTGTTATGCCCGTTATGTACAGTAATATTTCAGTGAAAAACTGTTTACCTAAATGAATCCGGATGAGTAAGATTTAAATTTTAGGTAACAAAAGGAAAAATTTCATTCTTTATTATAGTGATAGTTGTGATCGATCAGTGTGAATTGTTAAGTAATATTTATTGAGTAATGTTGGCAAAATGTTTGGAATAATAGTGTTTCTCAATTTTAACATGTGTTAAAAAAGTAATTTTAGTTATTTGCCATTCCAAGCTGTTTTGAATTTATTATATACTTGTAAATCTTGGTTTCAGAAGAGAGCACATGTTACTATGAATGTCACTACCCTCCGTGTACAAACCTTGAACGAGAACCTCGAGAATTTAGTATATGCGGGCGATGCCAGGAAGCTCGTTACTGTGGGCCATCATGTCAGCAAAGAGATTGGCCAATTCACAAGAAATTTTGCAGGAAAAAATATCATTCAGTGTTGAGAGATCAGCTTCCAGATCGATGACCATTATCTAGTGGTAGAGAATTGAAACATTTTAGAATTTGTAATAAAATATCATCTTAGATACATTACTGTTCCAGTCAGTGGTCAAATGTGATTGGTGAAATGGTCAGTTGTGAGTTGTGATTGGTGGATTTAATTTCTGTACTCATAATGTCGCAATTTTTTTTTCCACACCTCGTTAAAGTTCAGTTCAATTTTGGTGTTTTCTTTAAGTATTTAACTTGAAAAATTCAAAATTGATTGATAGCAAAAGTGATATGAAATTGTGTATTATCTGTAAGGTTTTTTTAGTGTTTTATCATTATACATTTCAGTGGATGGACGTGCTTGTTTTCATTGAATTATTTAAAAGAAAGAATTGAGTTCAGTACCTTAATCCGAGAATTACAACTTGGACATCTATCGAGTTTTTATTACTTTATTAGTGAATTTTACATTGATATTTTTATTACTTTCTCTTTTTGAGTGGTGTAAGAAATAGGTTCAGATGAAATTTTTTTAGCAAAGGAATAATTGGTGTTTTGGGGAAGTGTAACTGTTTTCAGAAGCTTCCTTGCTTGCCAGAAAACCTGAATTTAAAACAGAGAAAGTGCTGGTTCTTGTTCATTGAATATTTTATGGAAACTGTGTAATACATGTTATTATGATGTTATTTAATGTATGTGTTATGGGGGTTTGTGCTAAATATATGTACTTGCGTTCCTTTCTCAATATAAGTATAATTTGTTCTATTAATCATGACCAGTTTTTTTTACTCAAGCTGTACATCCAAGATAAAAGTGTTCACTTAATGGCTTGCCCCATTTCTTGACAGTTTTATAAAATTGATAGTAATTATACTTATTAAGGAATTCTTTTGAATTTTATGTGAGTGTTTTTTTAAGTTGTGTAATTTTTTTCTCCTTAGTAGTTTCTTCTGAAGTACTGTCATATAGTAACATTAGTAAAATTGTTTGAAATCATGAAAGAAACAAAAGTTTACTTTATACAGATTGTTAATCTTAAACGTCATAATAGTACGGAAAAACATGAGTGATAGTTTACAATTAACTTTAGTTTTGTTTTTGTAAGGAAGTTTCTACTTTAATTTTATTTTATTACATTTTTAGACACCAACTCAATAGATGGCGCTATTAACCACATTAATGTCCGATTTTGAGGAATATTTTTTGTAGTTCAGAGTGATTTAATCTCTTTTACATTACAAGATTGAATTTGTTGCCAACTTTTCTCATCTAACTACCATTTCGATTAAAAGTGTAAAAAATTGTCTTCGTAGTTTTTGAGTTCTATAATAGAAGTACATGCTTGAAGAATTAATGTACGTCAGTCTCATTTATTCAGAATTAAAACCGAGTTTTATTTTCATTCGCCGCTCAAGATTCTGACAAGTTATATAAGTTGCAAAAGGTGTATTATGGGCACCTTTGCAAAATTTTTATTGTAATAGATATCAATTTAAGTTGTATTTAAAATACAATTTGTACTAACTATTTAGAATTTTGGATTACTAAATGACGGATTTTAAATTTCGAAAATGAGTACAATTTTTAAACTTTTTTTAAAACAAAATATTAAAGTATGTCTTTATGGAGTCATATATTTTTTCACTGTGCAATGTAACTTGAAATATATTCAACATTAACAATAGTTTAGAGATGCCAGCCAATGAATTTAGAAACTAAGGTCTTAACAGAGAGTTTTACCTTGTATACTTGTTAAAATTGTTATTAGAATACAAGTTAAATTTTATAAGTAGAATTCTTCTAAATAATATAGGGAAATTCAGAGTTCTTTTTTTTTTCATGATATTTATAATTACCAACACGTTTGAAATACAGAACACAATTTGGAGTGAAAATTTGAAAGCACGTGGTTTGTTTAGCTGTTTGTAAAGCGTAAGAAAAAGCCTAATTTATGACGGTAAGAACTGTCGGAGCAATTTGTTTGATGTGAGAGAAAAAAATGTTCAAGACCTGTTACTTCACGCTTCTGGTTTCTGTATAATTACATTAAAGCAGTGTAATTAAAAATGTTAATTCTCTCGAAAATATCCTTTGGAATTATAAACAACTTTGTTGAGTTATTATATTAAGGATTATCGCTTGTTTAATTGAACATGTGCATTTAACGTTATTAGGTAACTACGGAATGCAAACTTATAATGTTGGGTTGTGAAAGAATTTAATGATTATTTTGTATTTAACTCGTTCTTATGTTTAGTTAATATGGTTTAGTCTTAAGCTACTTGGAGCTTTGGCATATTGGTAAGAATTCTTGTTGCACTTGGAGGGATAACAAGCTCTGTGTATATATGAAAATTGAGTAGGCCTAATGGCGCCTTAAGAAGCAAAGCATGGAACATAAGGATAAAATTTCTAAACAGAAGGCTCAACAGACTGTATTTATTCATCTATACGAAGTAATAACAACGCATAATATTTTGTAAATATGGTCATTATGTTTTCTGTGAAATCTTAATTTTTGTCATATGCATTCCACTGAATATTTATTACCTTGGTTTTTTAGATTTGTAATAACATTAGAAAATTGTTCAATTCAAGTAGACTTGGTTTTCCTGGTTTATTGGACGTCAACACTAATTTGTTATGGCTTTGAGTTTTAGTTAAAATATCAACCTTTTCGTTTTGTTGCTGAGTGGTTATTGTAGGACAAAAATTAAATCTACGTTGTCTTTTTATGTTTGTGAAACATGTTCTTCATGTGTACTACCGTTAATTTAGTAACACCTTTTAGCACACTGTGTGTAGCAGTATTATGATAATAGATTAATTCTTTTGAATTTTTTTCTGTCCTAGCTGATGTTTAATTGATTCTAATAAATTTTTAAGAGAAGTTTAGAAGTCTTGTTTAGTTGTCTTCCTCCGTATCATTAGGCCTAACCTTCAATTAATGTACGTCACTAAATGTAGTAGTGATACTTCCTACATTATTGGTGAGGGATAATGTTAATGAACTATTTACCAAGATAAGTGACACTTATGACAATTCAAAACAAAAATAAAGTGTAACAATGGTTAGAGACGGCTTGAATGGGTAATGAAGAAAAACTTTAATACAAGTTTAACATAACAGCAAACGTTCAACGTACAATGATGATGACAAAACCTTGTCGAAACGTTG